TAAATTATTTAAAAACTAAGTAACAATACTGTACAATTCAAAATGGAGTAAAACCTCCCCTTTAATAACAACAAAATACACATACATATCACTTTAATGGATTTATGGCGCTACAAGAAGTGTATATTTGTTCGTGTTTCCTTAACGACATGATTAATAATTTTTTGCTATTCCTTTTTAAACTTCAAGAAATTTGACATTTTTAGTTGACAGGCTGATTTTCCTCATACAATAAATTGTAAAAAAATAAACGCGAAAATTACAATAGCAACAACAAAACATACATTTAAGGATACTTGCTGAGTACGTTTGAGCAGAAGTTTTTCATTTAAAACCACTTCCCCTTCTATATAACCGACTCCTATACCAAAATTTGGTCATCACTACCATTTTTTTCATTACAATTCCTATTTATGTTTATTCTTTTTTATATATTGTAGTTGTTTCTTGGTGTACATAAACGTGCTTAATACCCTGGATCAATATAGTTTATATAAATGTTAAACTGCTAAAATGAAAAAAGTTTAATTTATTTTCGTTACGTTTTTTTATTATTTATTATTGTTATAATATTCTTTTACTCTCCATGTGAGCTTTATTTAATGGCATTATAACAAAAAAAAAACTTATTTTTTTTTTGTAATTTGGTTCGTGCTGCCCTGAAAGTTTTTCATTTTTATCAGAAGCAAAAGAAGCGGCATCAACAGCAGCAGTTTTGCTGTTAAATGTAACACACCCCAGCAGGCCCACTGTGTGTGTATTTTTAATAAACATACTTGGGTATTTATTTCTACACTACGAGTGATTTGAGTGGCGAATGAAAGTTAATATTTTTTAAAGAAAATTTTACAGCTATCTATAACAGATATGAATTTATAAACGTTATTGTTCTGTTATCTATAAAAGAGAAAATATTTTGAAATGAAAATTGTTCAGTTATCGATAACAGAAAATTTTCCAAAAAATTTTCCACGTGACGATAAAAGAGAAACTTTTCTAAAACAAATTATCCAATTAATTATAACTGAAACAATCTTCTTCAGAAGTTTATTTACAGAGTACGATAACAGAGAAAGTTTCCAAAGGAAAATTTTCCAGTTATAGATAACAGAGAATATTTTCAAAACATAGTTAACCAATTATCGATAACAGAGAAGATTTTTTTAAAGAAAATTGTTCAGTTATAGATAACAAAAACTTTTCTTAATAAAATTGTTCATATATCGATAAACAGAGAAGATTTTCTCCAGAAAATTGTCTAGTTATCGAAAATAGAATATTTAAAAAAAAAATTGTCTAGTTATCGACCATATAGAACATTTTTAAAATAATTTTCCAATTATCGACCGTTTTCTATAGGATGTTGATTAGTAATCGATAATTAAGAAGTTATTTTATTGTTTAGTTATCGATAACAGAGTAATATTTTTTAAGAAAATTGTCTAGTTATCGATAACAGAGTAATATTTTGTAAAACAAGTTTTCCAGTTTTCGGTAGCAGAGAAAATTTGCTAAATAACTATCCAGTTATCGATAACAAAAATTTTCTGGATAAAATTGTACAGTCGATAACAGTTTAATACTTTTAAACACAATTGTTAAGTTATCGATAACAGAGAATTGTTATTAATGGAAATTGCACGATTATAAATAACAGAGAAGATTTTTTAAACAAAATTGTTCAGTTATCGATAAATGAGAAAAGTTATTTAAAGAAATTTGTCCAGTTATCAATAACAGAGAAGATTATTAAAAAATAATTGTTCAGTTATCGATAACAAAGAAAAGTTATTCAAGATATCAATAACAGAGAAGATTTTTTAATAAAAATTTTTCTGTTACCGATAACAGAGAAGATGTTATAATGATTTTATCGATATCTGAGAAAAGTTATTAAATTAAATTGTCCAGTTATCAGTAATAGAAAAAATTTCTTAAAGAAAATTGTTCAGTTATCGATAACAAAGAAAAGTTATTAAAGTAATTTTTTTTTTTAATGAAAATTGTTTAGTTATCGATAACAGAACACTTAAATAATTTTAAAATTATCGATAACAGACGGATTTATATAGAATAATTATTAGTTATCGAAAATTAAGAAGATTGTTTAAACAAAGTAGTTCTCTTATTGAGAAGTAGAGAGAATTGTGTAAAGAAAAATGTATAATTATCGCTTACAGAGAAAATTAATCGATAGTTATCGATAATAGAAAATAATTGTATAAAGAAAAATGTATAATTATCGCTTACAGAAAATTAATCGATAGTTATCGATAATAGAAAATAATTTCCTAATGGAAATTGTGCAATTATCGATAATAAAGAACATTTTTAATCAGTTATCGATAATTAGGAAGAGAAAAAAATTTTAAAAGGAAAAATATGTAGTTCTTATCTTTTTAACATGATTTGTATGCAATTTTTCCAGAGTGTATGGCATCAAACATTCAGTTGGTTATAAGCGCTAGACTAAGTTCTTAATATCGCATGTACCATCATATAGAATAGAAGTCTGTTTTATTTTCTTTACATTACGTTTTTTTTTTGAGAAATGATCAGAGCATGATTTGCTAAAATAAAATCTAAATCATATTGCATGTATGAGTATGATACCCTAAATACATACACGAACAAATTTGCTATACATACATACATACATATGTATGTATACATGTAATGTAAATATACAATTAATACATGAGTATATGGAGTAAATATTGCTTTGCCTGCCTATAGGCGTAAATGGAGAAAATTCAAAGTTTTTTTTTTTATATGAAAGTATATATAGAGCATAGTTTGTTTGCTGTGTTACTTGAAGAAATTATGGTGGTTGGATTTTCGTTCCATGACGTTAGTAGTAGCAGTATTTATTGGTGGTGGTTGGGTAATTTACTAAATCTCCTTCCATATTTGCTACTTTGATTAGTTTCTTTTTTATATGTATTATTCGAAATTTCCGAAAAGTTTATTTTACTTTCTACTTTTTTTTTTTTGGCTAGCTCGTTGCTTAATTCAAAGTCTATTGTATTATAATCGCCCTAATATTATAAAGAAAAAATAAACGCGTGTTTTTATATTTATCTAGTAGATTAATCGTTAGCCTACGATATGGCTATATCCATTACTTTTTTTGTTGATTTAATACCAATACTTTTGATATATGAGAATACATACATATTTACAAACAAAATAGGAAATCTTTGTACATATACATATATGGGGAGTTGTTTGTTGGTAGTGGTTAAATAAAGAAATGTTGTACATATTTTTCTGGTTTATTTACTGTAAATATATTTACAATTTAGTCTAAATAGGTTTAATAATATTTACTTTAGAAACTAGTGATAGTTGCAATTACAGAGTTAAAAAGAAAGCCGCTAAGTAAGGCATGAAAAAGAAAAATTTTTTTTTTGAAATTTTATTGAAAAATATTTAAAAGTTTTGGTATTAAAAAAAGGAAGTTTATTTTAAAATAATTTTAAAATTTCTTATAAATTTAGGTTTTTGAAAATTATGTTTTGTTTAATTTATCACAAACAACAATTAACATCTTATCATAAACAACAATAAAGCAAATATAATACATACAAATGTACTACATACATACATAGTATAACAAAAAGAAATCTTATCAAAATATATAAAATGTATTTTTAAATTATTTAAAATTCCTGGACAACCGGGGGGGTGTAGAGAAGAAAGGAATATCATGCGAAAAAGAAAACAAATAAATATGATTTGCAGACATATTTTTGCCAGATAAATAATTAACATTTGGTGTTGTATATAAATTGATATGATTTTACTAATACTTTCAATCGAGTCTATAACTAAATAAGATTAGATTATTAAAAATAAAGCAAACTTTTGGAACAATTTACAAAATAGCAACCATGGTAGTTAGTTATAAATTCAAATTCTATGTTTACTGTTAGATTAAGAAAAACTAATCATAAATGATGAACACGAAACAAACTATAAATGGAACCGATCTGTTAGCGATAGTAGAGAAAATTTTATATAGATAATTGTTTAGTTGATAACATTGGGTGGCAAATTTTTAACCTAGAGACTAAAGTATGCTTGTCTAAAGCTCTAAATGCGAATCTGGTCTAAGAATTTTACATCATTACAATGGGTGACAAATTTTTAAACCAGAGACCAAAGAATGCTTGTCTAAAGCTCTAAATGCGAATCATGTGAGATATTGTGCCCTGAAATTTAAAAAAAAAACTCCATTTTTGGCCTTTTTTGAGACTTTATTTATAAAATGTTGTATGCCATGTGAAAGTCCATTCTGTCAACTTTATAATAAAGGATTAACATCTGACTTATCATGTCTCTTCTTCTCCCAGATGTGATTCGAAAAGGCTAACATGGTCTCGTGATTTCGACTTTCTTCATGACCGACCATATGATGCCCTACACCAGTTATAAAATAAAAAAGGCCAGATCAGAAGGTCCGGTTATATGGTGGCTAGGTGAAATAATGGACCGATTTGTAATAGGTCTCGTCCTTCGTATCTTGTAACAGACAGACGGGCGGACGGAAATGTCTTAATGGATTCTGAGTCGATCGTTATACTTTAAGGGCGTAAAACTTCTCCATATGTTAACGATGATAGGGGAGGATTGTGCCTCTGGTAGTACAGTTGGTTCTAGTCTGTACGCCCAGTAGTTGTGGGTTTAATTGCAGAGACTCTGGCAAAGGAAAGCAGAACAGATCAGATAGTATTTCTTCGAATCTGAAGTAATATACATTCTCCTTTCAAACTAACTATAGATGTTAGTGTACCTTTTTTTAAAGAATATTATCAAGTTATCGAAATGAAAAACGAGTTATCGGTAGTAAGCCATAGTTTTCGTACTGAGTTATAGAAAACCCTCAAAAAGATATAGAAAAATCCAGGATAGTTTTCAATAGTACGATAAGTGCGATTTTACTAGAATCAAGTATAAAATACTTGAATCAACTTCGGATCAGCCAAGTATGATAGACTTGATTTTAGCATGATTTAAACCTTTTAGGGAACAAAGTGATCACGACAAGTACTTGTTTTAAGAAATGTTTTCTAAATTTAAACCCGAATCCATACTTGATTTAAGCAAGTACGATCTTTAAGTAATCGGTCTACAGAAAATTTTTAGGTTATCAATACTTAATATTTCTAATTTTCGAAATAATTGTCCTTTTGTTTTTATAGTTAAAATAAAAATTATTATTATATATTTATAAAATATAAATAAAATTTTACGAAAAACTTACCAGTTTCATTATCAATAGTAAAGGGTATGCCAGCCCATTCATCTCCCAAATGATTATCATCATCATTGTCATCAATATCTTTTGGATCATACTTTGACTATTTGAATAAAATTTTAAGAAAATATTAATGATAATCATATTTCAAAATGATTGCAAAAACACACAAATAATAACTTTTGTTTATGATTGAATTTTGACAAAAAAAACAGACGATGAATTTTTGAAATTAATCTGTGATAAAAAACCAAGTCACACAGTTCGTCGAATGTCTATAAGACAAAAGTAGTATGATGTCAAGAGTGCTGACATGTCAACTGGAAAAACTTGCCGATTTGTTATTGAATTGAAAGGTCTGAAACAGTTTCTTATAGCTTCGTAAACAAGTCAAATAATTAGTTCCACGTTTGTTTCAAAACTTACAAAAAACTCTTTTAGATCTTACGGAATGAATTATTTCAAACTGTAGATGATAAATAAACAAATAAATGCCAAAGATTTATCATAAACGATTATTTAAAATTAAAACTTAATTTAATAAAATTATGATGAAAAGTATACTTTTGATAGAATTTTTAATAAAGAGAAAGTTTTTATTTTTTCTCTTTAATCACTTTTTTAAATGAAATCATTTCAAATGAGTATGAGAGCAAAAGAGAGAAAGAGAGTTTGTGCTGAGCGATAGTAATGTAAGATGATGAAATTTTATTTAAATAAATTAATTTTAATTTTATATGTGAATTATTTGTTTTCGTATTATAAATTTATAATTATTATTTAAACACTTACATTATCTAATTTGAGTGCTTCTAAAGCTTTCAACTTTTCGATATCGTCGTCATTAGCGTTAGATGATTGCAAAGCTTTAGCTGAAGTACCAGCATCAGCCAATTGGGCGGGTGTAAGACTATAGCCCAAATCGACATCTTGTTTCCATAAAACTTCAACAATTTCGCTTTCCTATAATTTTTTGTTTTTTTCAATTTTATAATTTATTTAGTGGAAAAATATTTAAACGCCACCATTAGTAGAAATTTTGAAAAAAAAGTTTATTAAAAGAAAGAAGATAAAGAAAAGAAGAAAATATAAAAAATATAAATAAATTGCGCATTAATTAAATGTTTAATTAATAAAAAAGAGAATTGTAATTTGTATTTGAATTTTGTTTCAATAAAACCTACTTTATAAATATAGTGTCGCATTTTGGTAGATTTCTTGTTTATTCAATGGCTGTGGTAAATATTGTTTTATTGGTTTTTCCAAGCAGTTAGTTGTTTTATTAAACTAAATTTATACAGTGTGGCGCAATACAATGAATATTTTTATTTTATCTGAAAACAAACAGATTTTCTTTAAATTGTTCAGTTTAATGTTAGGAGATTGTTAATAAAAATCACTTCCCTTATTCGAAACTTTAATAAAAATTTTTGTTTTGAAATTATTCCAATATTTCCTAAAATTCAAATCTGCACTAAAAAATTTTAATTTTTAATTAAAAATTCAATATTTTTTCAAACTTTCACTTAAATTTTGAAATTTTACAAAAAATACTATATTTTACTAAAACTTCATTATAAAGTACAAAATTTTATCAGAATTCAAAAATTTTGAAATTCTCTTAAAAATTTTAAATTATACCACAAATCTGAAATTTACTATAAAATCCAAATATTTAATAAAAATACGAAATTTCATAAAATTTTTGATTCTTAGTAAATAATAGACTATAGATTAGACCATAAACTAGACTACAGATAAGACTATATACTAGACTGTAGACCATACTATAGACTAGACTATAGACTAGACTTTAGACTAGACTATAGACTAGACTATAGACTAGACTATAGACTAGACTATAGACTAGACTATAGACTAGGCTATAGACTAGACTATAGACTAGACTATAGAATAGACTATAGACTAGATTATAGAAAAGACTATAGAATAGACTATAGACTAGGCTATAGACTAGACTATAGACTAGACTATAGACTAGACTATAAAATAGACTATAAACTAGACTATAGAAAAGACTATAAAATAGACTATAGACTAGACTATAGACTAGACTATAGACTAAACTATAGAATAGACTATAGACTAGATTATAGACAAGATTGTAGACTAGACAAAAGTCAGAAGAAATTCTGTCAGACCATAGACTGAAACTAGACTATAGACTAGATTAAAGATTACACTATATACTAGACTATAGACTGGACTATAGAACGAACTATAGAGTGGACTATAGACTGAACTATAGACTGGACTATAGACTCGTCTATAGACTGGGCTGTAGACCAGATTATAGACAGGCTTTACCCAGACTGGACTATAGACAATACTATAGACTGGACTATAGACCAGACCATAGACTGCATTATAGACCAGACTATATTCCATACTATAGACTGGACTATAGACCATATTATAGACTGGACTATAGACCATATTATAGACTGGACTATAGACACAGACTATAGACTGGACTGTAGACCAAATTATAGACCAGACTATGGACTGGACTATAGACAAAACCATAGACCAGACTATAGACTAAATTATAGACAAGACTATAGACTGGACTGTAGACCAGACTATAGACTGGACTATGGACCAGACTATATACTGGACTATATATACAGACCAGACTAAAATACAATCTAGACATAACTTTATCGATTATTTTCCGATTTAAAAAATAAAATTTATTTTTTTAATTTTTTATTTATACAAATTAAAACGTTTAAACTATTTTCATTGTATTGTCACTCACTGTAGATAATTTAAATTTATTATTATTAGTTGTTAATATTTATAATTATAAACCATATATTATTCGAAATTTTTATTTTATATAATTTTTTTTCTTTTTATTTTATTCTTAATCTTTTAAATATATAAAAAAATATTTGGTTTCTTTTCAGTTTTTATTTTTAAAATATTTTTTCTTTATTTTAATTTTTATTTATAAAATATTTTTTATTTCACATTTAATAAAATTTTATTTATGATAATATTTCATTTATTTTTTTAATCTCGAATTTTTGGAATAAAAAAAATATGTTTTTAATTTTTATTTTTAAACACTTTCATTTATTCGTTTCTGTTGTTTTTTGTATCAAATTTTGTTTAATAATTTTATTTATTGTATTTTTTTTTGTATAAAAACGTCTTTAATTGCTAATTGTTTAAAAGTGACTATTCTTTGCTCATTAAAGTTGTCAAGACAATTTAATTTCAAATGTTATTTTCAAATTGGCCTAAAAAACAACGCGTTAACAGCAATAATATGAAAAGAAAACTAATAACAAATTACGTAGATGGAAAAATTTAAGAGAATCTATTTAATATTTTTGCAAATGTTTACTTATTGCTTTAATTTTATAACTTTTCATTTGTTTTTAGCTTTAAATTTTATTATACTTTATTTTTCTTCTGTTCTTATTTAACTGATAAGACTTTTGTCAAGTTTATTTTTTTTTACTTTTTTCAGTTTAAAAGATAAGGTTCTCTTTTGCTTTTTAAATTCAATAGAAACTGGACTGGCAGTTTGTAAAAATTCCATATTAAATGAGTAATATAAGAAAAAAATTTTGCATTTGTTTATAAACAAATTCTCTTGATTATCTTTATTAATTTTAAGAGAGCGAAAAATTATGTCAAGTTTTAAAATGAGTTTTAGAAACTATATTTTGGCGGTAATCAAAATCTAATGTTTAGTTTTTCTTGACAACAGTCAGAGTTTTGTAAAAAAATCTTTAGAAAAATGTAAATATAAACATAAAAATTGCCTTTTGAGGGCAAAAATGTTGCCCGTTTTAGCTCCTAATTCGAAAAAAATTATATATCTAAACTATTTTCTGCTAAAAGGCGAAAAAACTACTTTAACCTTAAATTTGGATTGATGAACTATAACTTTTTGACTCAATATTTTACAGTATTAAAGACCTTAACAGAAACTGTCTTCGGCTTATGTCAACATCTGGAAAAGTTTTAGAGAAAATATTCAACATCTCATGTTAAAATTTAGTTTAGTGTTCAGTAAAGATACTGACTGATAATTTCTTAATCTTAGGCAATTGAATGATAAGAAAACATAAAATTAAAAAAAAAAAATACGATATTGTAAAAGTGGACCATAAACGATATAGAGAAATGGGTTTGTCTTCAGCAAATAATATCAAAGAAACGTTTATAGTTATCTTTTATTTAAAATTTGATACTTTTTTTTATAAAAGTACGAAGTTTAAATATTAGTAAATTAAATAATGAGGGAGCTATACAAAAAAACTGCTGTTAAAAATTCACAATTTTTAATGATAAACGTGGGAGGAGGTGTAAGTCTGTTAAATGATTGAAATAGTAGTCATAAGAAAGCTTTAACATTTTTAATTTACTACCCAACAAAAACTAGGTAATGACTTGTACTAACATAAAAACTTAATTTTTAATGACTACTACATATCTTCTGACTTATGATGACTTACTTATAATCAGATACCTAAGTACTTTATTACTATAAGCAGTTATTTAAGCAGTTGTATGTAAGCGAGCAAGACAAGTACTTGCCTTTCATGTCATCAATGAGTTAAATAATGTGTTAAGATATAACTCATTACTTTTCAATGTCTCCTAACCTATTTCTTATTTCCATTAACGTCCTTCTAATGTCAAACTTTTTTTTTCGCCGATTACAGCAATATCTGTTATTCTTATTCATGGAATTATAGGTCAAGCCCTTCAGAGATACGTTCAATGAGGCACAACCATGAATCAATCGCTCAACCACGAATTGGTATTATCACAGATAATGTTGTTCCATCTATATTATATGGGTGCTGTAAATATTAAGGAATTTGAAGCGAAAATATAGTGCGATGTCAGTTGGATTAAACACATTTTTGAAATATATAAAGAAGCATTCAAGTATCTTAGTTTTATACTTCACTCCATCTGATCTCCTTAGAAAATGGCATACAATTCTCATATATGGGCCGGAGCTTAGAAGTTTTTTTTGGACTAACAAAATTTTTCAAGTATCCAAAGAAGCATTATTGGTTTTATACTTTACTCTATCTGATATCTTTGGAAGTACAACTCTCATATATGGGCCGGAGCTTTGAAGTCTATTTTGGAGCTACTCGACCGCATACAGGAGAAAGCGAAGGTATTTAACGGTGATTGTTAGGGTTTCTAATTCTATTGATTCCCTAGAGCACTGTTCTATCGATATTACAATGTAATGTGTTCATCTGAAATTAGGAAGCTTGTTCCCCATATCCGCAACACACTTATTTCATTAAAAACACACAAATTACAGGGAAAATTGATTCACTGTTCGAATGTGGAACAAACTTCCTTCAGAAGTATTCCCTGATAATTTCGATATAAGAAAATTTAAACCAAATGTCCAATGTTCCTAATTCCAACACAATACCTCGCATAAGTAGGGGTCAACCCCTGAGTGCTGGTCAAAGAAAAGAAAATATGGCGAAAATGAAAAATCAATTATGGGCCGGAGCTTCGAAGTCTATTTTGGAGCCACTCGACCGCATACAGGAGAGAGCGAAGGTTCTCCCTAGAACACAGTGGGGTGTATTTCACTGAACTATCCATATTACAGAGGGGAATGAAAATTTTAAGGGAACAAAAATTCCACTTCTATAGGTGTGATTAATATTGTTAATCGTGCTAAACTTGAGAACTATAGATGTAATTCCATGAAATTAAAGAAAATTTTTAAAAAATTTTGAAAAATGTAAATAGAAAGATTAAAATTTTAAAAGTTTATAAAAAAAATAGTTTGAAACTTGCTATTTGACTTTTCCAACTTGTTATTTTTATAGGAATTTCCTTTAATTTCATAAAATCTTTGAAATATTCCCTAACCACCATATATTTATTATCTTAACATTCATTTTTGTGGCTCATCCCACTAATGGCTGTGATTATCT